AAGGTCTACAGTGCTCCCTCTGGGCAAGTTCCCAGAGCTCAACAGTTGTGGACAAGACTCTTTAAGGATAGGGAGGGATAATCTTCACTTCCTAGGGAGTGGTGGGTTTCTGAATTCTGACACCAGTCAGTTCCTGAGTCCTTGCAGTCCCTCCCTAGTGTCATATCCCCTCTGACTTTCCTTGCTCCCCTTTTTCTAGTCTGGCAGCTTTTATGAATTCTTGGAAGGAATGTGTATATAGGATGTGTATACAGTAGGTGGATATTGGAAGGACAGGAGATACGATAGGGGACAGTGGTTCTGCTTGATTTCCTATTTTTCCATATCTCTTCATTTTATATTTGGACCTTGACTTTAGAAACTCATAAGCCAAAAGTTGGACTTTTATTTTTCTGGTATTTTTATGCTAACTCTCCCTCATGACAACATTGTGTTCTCTCTCTGTCTACCTTGATGGGAAGAGGGTCAGTTAGTACAGTGCAGCCATCGAGCAGGAGAGGTGATGGAAGGAGACTATCAATCAATACATCCAAATAACATCCTAACATTCATATAATGATTCCCCCCATAATCTCTTTTTGATAGCTGTAGAATATGTATGTGTGTGTGTGTATCTCACCTCATCTCTAATAATTTGTTCACAAATCCAAGTCTACAAATGCGTCTCATGAGTGGACTAAACCATGAAGAAGGGTGGATATGCATGGCTTCTGGCAAACCTAGCCAATTCTTCAAGCGGCTGAGGGAAAGAAGGCTGCAAATAGCAGCGTGCTTCACACAATATTCCTGAAATTCAGTCTCTAATGGCTTTTTGCTCCAGAGAGCAAATTCTCTCTCAGCCACAGGAGGGCCCCTGCTCCCTGAACTGCCTGTCTGACTCAGACTGGGAATTCAGAGGTAAAAATGAGGAGTAGATTCAGGAGCTGGATAATAATATAAATATAAATATATATGTTTTTGGTATGGGAGTGAATGGGATATTTGGCGGTCATCCAACATTTTCTCAAATTGGTGATGCCTGGGCGTGGCATTTTCAAAGTATCAGTTTGACTGTACTTTGGACAGAAGTCCCTGGCCTTGGCAGATCAGCACATACGCAGAAAACACCCTAACAAGCTCCCTGTCCCCCACCCTAATTCACACTCCCACACCACTGAGGGAGTCAAAGGCATGTTTTGACAGTGGCACAAGTGCATCCTGCTCCAGGGATGACTGGGGTGGAATTAGCTTGCCAGGGCTGTGCCTGTCATAATGAACAAAGGGCAGGGGACTCCTCTGAAATCCCTAGTTCTGGGGCATAGGAGCCTCTGCCATCATCTCCTTATAGGAGCCATTGTTACCTACCCTCTGTGGGGCAGCTTCTGGTGACCGTGTGGTATAAAGGGCCTCGCTTTCTCATCATAAACTGTGATCTCACTATGGCTATAAACCCATTTAAAATATATATATTTTAAATTTTTTTGAAATATTTTTTTAGTTGTCAATGGACCTTTATTTTGTTTATTTATATAACGGCACTGAGAATTGAACCCAGGGCCTCACATATGCTAGGCAACTGTTCTACCACTGAGCCACACAACCCCAGCCCATAAACCCATTTAAAATATTGACTGTGATAATAAAGATGAGTAACTCTTGCTCCTCTGGAGTGTAGATGGGTTGACTTCTCTCTTTCCAGCCCTGAAACGCTGTCATTCAGCTGGTGGATATAGGGTCTGGGTTTTGTGGTCCTGTAAATAAACAATCAGAACAATAATTCTTCAAGCCCCAAAGCTTTTGTTGAACTCATTTTCTGCCATATGTTGTCTTTGTTCTCTATAGAATAATGGGGAAGGGAGTTATTTTGAGCTAAGTTGGGAGTAGGGCAGACCTGAGTTAGGTCAAATTATGAGGCTCGGCATGGGTTGGGGTGAGAAGAAGGCAGGCAGAATAGAAGGTGCACCGGAATTATCCTTCCTTCCAAGCCTCAGCACAGCTAGGATGTAGCAAATTTGCTCAGCAGCTGGTACCCATGGCCTCAATCATCTCCAGAGCGGGGTGGCGCTGCTGAGGCCAAGAAAGAATTGCTCCAGCGGGGGCTCCTTTAACTGAGCTTTTTATAAGAATTGTACAGTCTGGCCACGGTTGCTCCTCGCACTTGCCTAGACTGGCTCAACTCCTCTTCTTTCCACGGGGGGTGTGAGGAGAACCAGCTTACCCATTAACTTAGGGCCTGCGTTTTATCGATTTTGATCACTCGGGACCCCAGTTCTGGGGACATCTGTGACCTGTCGTGCAGTAATAGCTTGGTTTTCCCCGTGTTCGGCTCCCTCCCCAAGTACTTAGTGTTAAATCATAGAGGGAGGAAGTGTGAGCAGAGGAAAAACAGCACTATTACATGACCCCTGATGAGACCGCTGTGATAGAATTAAAAGCTGCCGCCCTAGGACATTCTAACAGATGACATTGTGAGGTTGCCAAGGTAACCCACCAGGATACAGTTCCAGCATCTTTGGGGTTGATGCTGGGTAGACGAGGTCAGTTAGAGGTAAGGCCGGGCTGCCCAGGATCTGTTCCCTGGCTGGCTGGCCTGTGGCAGCCAAGTGGAAAAATCAAGGCAGCTTTCTCTACGACATAAGCAAATCCAGGATTCAGCTCCTTGCTGGATATTCCAGGTGAAAGAGAACTGGAATTGCTGAATGTGGGTTACACAGAGCTTTAAGAGAGCTGGATGCTAATGCCTCATCCACTTAATTCTATAATCGCTTACTGAATACCTACTATGTGCCATATAAGAAGCATCAGGATATCTAGGAAGAAAGGTCTAGAGTTCTAGAAAATCCTCAAAGATGCAGATCCAAGCAGGGAAAAAAGTCATTGAAGACAATTATACACTATTAGTACTCAGGAAAATATTGAGTGGGAAAAAAATGGAAACAATCAGAATAGCTTATTAACCTCAAGGACCTGGTGTTTAAATAGAAACCATGCACCAAAGTACAAGTGTGCACAAAAATCTTATAGAGTGGGAATGATTTGCTTAAATAAACTACCTCCCTCAACTATAATCACATTATGTGACATTCCTTCCTTTCTTTTTTCTTCCTTTATATACCCAGTGTTGACATGTGAACTACTGGTTAACACCTATAAATGTTGTTTTCTTTCTTCAGTGTAGTAGCCATCAAAGGATCAGAAAGACTTCAGAGAGGCCCTGAGAGCAACTCGGGGCCTCAAGCAGGATCATTAAGTGACATAAAGAAGTCTCCCTTTGACTTCATCAATGGGTGTTCAAAACTATCAGTGGTGTCACTGGTCCATGTTCCCACACACTATTATTTGAACCTGGGTGTAGGCTGTCACCTGGTCTTATCATTTTCTCTAAAATGGCAAACTAAAGTGTGTATGGGGGTAAGGAAGGAGAAAATCAGGGTAATGCTGGTGAGTGACACCAGAAAGTGGTGGGTGGGAAGGGAAAGGGGGAAACAACACCAACCAAAACAAAACCAACAACAACAACAATAACAACTACCATCCAGTGATGGACAGAGGGGAGGAAAACAACTGGAATGGGTACAGGGAATATCTCTGAGAAACTGTGCTAACAAGACAAGTTATTAAAAACAAAATAGTGCTTCCTTACCCCCTGAGGGGTGTTATTAGTACCAGAAGAACCTCATTAAAACACAATAGGGCCTAAACCAGCCCTCCACAGGCTGCAGTGGGGGGAGGTTCAGATGCCTAAGGACCCCTCTTAGCCCAACCAGAAAATGGAGATAATTAACTAAATTATTTCAGCCTTCTTGTTCCAACCTCTTTATAATAATAATAGCTAAGTTACGGAGTGCTTCCTAAACACTTTACATTTAATAACCCATGGGGAAGTGCTATTTGACAAATGAACAGGCCCAAATCAGTCACACAGGAGTAAGCAGAGAGGCCGGGAAACCAACCCTGACCATTTGGCTCTAGGATTCCGCTCTTAACCACTACACGGTAATTTTGCTTTATTTAAACAGTTTCAAGAAGAAAATCTTGCCGGACGTTGGTGCATGCCTGTAATCCCAGTGGTTCAGGAGGCTGAGGTGGAACAATTGCAAATTTGAGGGCAGCCTCAGCAATTTAGCCCTAAATTTAGTGAGACCCTATCGTAAAGTAAAAAAAAATATATAAAATGGGCTGGAGATGTAATTCAGTGGTAAAACCCCTCCAAGTTCAACCCCCAGTAACCCCATAAAAAAGAAAATCTTTTAGAATGGACCCAATGCCTCACATCTTCATTTTGGTAATGCAGCCCTGTCCTGGCATTTTATGTCGTCTCCCTGGGCGGCCTCAAGATGCCAGGCTAATGATTCCCAGATAGTCTCAGACCTGTGAACACCTGGAGTAGGCAGAATAGCGTTCCACCAGCGGACAGTGGCATTAATCCTCTCCTGAATTACCAACACCCAAGAAAGAACTTGGGCAGCGCTGGAGACGCGCCCACCTGTGGAATGGGGTCCAGGAATGGTCCTCTCTTAAGGTCTCCCCTTCCCCCGCCCTCAGGCAGCTGCACCTGGATGACGGTCGCCCTTCCAGCATCCTGATTCAAATCTTGGGGGATCCCACTCTCCCACTTGCTCGCCTGACCCTGACCGTACACGACCTTGGTTAGGAGGGGTCGAGAGGGAGGGTCGGTGAGCCTCGGACCCCTGGGTCGCGAGGCGGCGAGGATCGCTCACAGCTTGGCCGCGTGGATGTGGCGGCGCAGAACTCAGAGAGGGCGCAGGACGCGGAGGGGGCGCTGGGCGGGCCCACTGCTCCCGCGGCGGCTGTCAGGGGCCGCTTGGCTTCCCCTGAAGATGCAGCGCAGCATATTTTGCACATGAGTTCAGAGGAAGAGGAAGTGTAGCCGGCGGACGCGCGGCGGCGGCGGGGGCGCGTCGGGGCTGGAGCCGGAGCGCGCCGGGCGCAGGGCGCAGTGAGCGGGAGCGCGGCGGCCGCGGGCTCCGGGGAGGGACGCACTCACTGATCGCCTGAGGGACTGACACTAGAGCACGCCGCGCCACCACCCTCTGCCCCCACCCACTGGCGCCCACGTCCTCCGTGCGCCGCCTCCTCTGTATGGCACAAACTTTCCTCCCGGGACGCAACACGCTGTCTCAGGGAACCCGAGCCCGCGCCTTCTCCGTCGCCGGTCGCGAAAGGTAAGTGGGGACACAGTAGGTCTCCGGGTGTCGGCGTGCACAGGCCCATCCTTTTGGCCCTGCGGATCAGGTCCCCGGCGGGCAGGGCGAGCCCTCGTGGCACCTCCCTGCAGGTTGTCCTGTGCCGGGGCTCCGGAGCTGCCAATTGAACCTCCCTGCCCCAGGTGGAATGGGGACGGGGCAGATCGATGGGGCGCCAGTGTCTCGGACCAACTTTTTTGAAGGAAAAAAAAAAAAAAAATCTCTGACGCTTTGTAGAGAGGCACTCGGGAGTGGCCTGTTGGGGGTCGTGGGCTTTGGGCTCTCTGGATCGCCTAGGAAGGACGCAGAAGGGGAGTTCTGAGGCTACAGGTGGGTCCGGAGTACACTGCTGTAAGGGTCCTCAGCAAAGGTCAGGTGTTGGAGTACAGGTTTTCAGAAGTGCGCGGGCCTGGGGTGAGGTAGGTGGGATAGGCTGGCGTGGAGCTGCGCCGGCTGCCGCTCTGAGTGCGCCCTAGAGGTGGGCTTGCTCCCAGGACAGAGGCTGTGGATGAGGGAAGCAGACATGCTGCGCGCTCGGAAGAGGGGCCGCTGCCACTGTAGACACAGAGAGGTGGAGAGTCCCCGGCACTCAAATGGGGATTCCCCCCTTTTAAGAAATTATTTTCTCTCGTCCTAAATCACTTTCTTAGGTGCAGGGGACACTTGGATGGGTTTGAATCTGGGCGGGGAGGAGGAAGCCCGTTGTCATACACGCCCATCTGAGTCCCAGGCCAGGGTTGGTGCCCTTCACCTCAGGTACCGCTGTCTTTGGCAGGGAGAAACCGGTGGAGACCAAGGTTCTAAACCCAGGCACGCTCTCTGCTGCCTCTGTTGCCCTGGCTCAGCTGCCCTATGTAGCTGTGGATGGTTCCCAGGGACACTGGGTGGTGTCAGTGAGTTTGTTTGGGGGCTTAAAAATAAACAAGCCAAAAGTATTTTTTTTTAAAGTCTGGCACAGATCTCTGCATGTGAGTGTCTGCCCTGGTCCCCAGCAACAGCCTTTTCTTATCGTCAGAACAGCAGTTTTCAGATGCTGGGTGTGCAGTCAGACTAGGGTGTCTTCCAACCCCTGCCATCGTGTGTCATCTCAGGATAAGTGAGGCCTTGCCAGGAAGGAAGCTGGTTGTAATGTGAGCGACCTCTGGGCCTGTGGGTAGGGCCACTATGCACCCCACGTGCCCCAGCCGCTGGGATTCTTAATTTGTACTTTTGAACAGCTGAATTCCAAGGAAGTTCAAGTGACCCCAGATGTCACAAGCCCCACAGAGGGGTTAAGCAACAAGCTGTTTGGGGCTCTTTGGTGCATGTGCACTAACCTCAGTGAAATCACTCTAACCTCAGACTGAGCTCTGCATCCTCTTTTGCCTTCAGTGGGGTTTCTGGCCTTTCTGAGTAATTCCAGCTCCAGGACTGGGACATCATCCTCTGGCTGCATTTGTATAGCAAGTCCCTGGGTTGGTTTTTCTTTGTTTTTTGGCTGCATGGACATGGGGCAAATGGAAGCGGAGTATTGTGCAATTGGCTAATAGGTTTGATGCAGGAATTGAAATAGAATAAATTGGGGATACAAGTCAGTGAGTTCTTTTTCTCCCTCGAGAGCAGGAATTTTTGGCTTACATTCAAATAATTGCAATCCCTTTGTCTGTAGGGAAACAGGCAAAAAATATTTGGCATGAGTGATATGGGTTCCTGTAAGCTCCTTGTTCCTCCACTCTTTGCTTCTCCTCAGAATTGAAACTAGGTGGTCCCATGGTGTGATAGGCATGGTTACCTTGCTTGGTGGACTAAGGGAAGGGCAGTGTGACTCTATTCCACCACTTCCCATCCCATTTTTAAGATACAGAAAAGTTACAAGAACAGCGACCACCCCAATACGATACCTTGACTCTATAATTAACGTTTTCTTATATTGGCATTATTACACATCTGTCCATCTGCTCCTTTACCCATCTATCAGCAGTTTATTGTTATATGAATTTTAAAGTAAATTATAGATATTGGCACAAGTCACTTACAAACATTTCAGCACACATTTTATGAGAGTTCAATCATGATTTTCTTAAGGTAAAATTTATATACATATAATGAAATGTGCTGATCTTGAGAGTGCCATTTGCAGAATGTTTGACAGAAGCAGGCACTTATGTAACCCTAGTCCCTATCAAGACAGAGAACATTACCAGAAAGTTTTTTCATCCCCTTTCCCAGTCACTTCGTGTCCCCACTTTATCCACACCAAGTACTGCTGTTTCTTAGCATAGATTAGTTTAACCTGTTCTTGAACTTCATATGAATTGAATTATATCTACAGTATGATGCAAAGCTCCTTTTACTCAGTATGTTTTTTAAGATTCATGCATGTTGTGTATATTGGTAATTTTATCTTTTTTACTGCTGTGTAATATTTCAAAGGTATGTCTGTACCAACGTGTGTTTATTTATTCCCCTGTCAGTGAACATGTGGGTTTTGCCCAGGATTTTTTTGTTTGTTGACGAGTATTGTGAGCAATGCTGCTTTGAACTTTTGTGCACAAGTCTTTCCAGGGGCATATGTTCTCATTTCTCATGGATAAATAGCTAGAGTGAATTGCTGGGGCCCAGAGGAGGTATATGTGAACCTTTTTAAAAAATGGCCAGATTTTTTTTCAACATGATGGTACTATTTTACAGTCTTATCAGGAAAGAACACAAGTATGAGATTTTGGAAAGTATATCACAATCCTGTTTTCCTATCTCAAATTCAAGACCATGGTTTGATTAGTGTTCTCCTGGGCCAGAGGGATCCAGAAATCAAAACCACTTGAGACAGTCTGGAACATGTTGTTTTTGTAGGTAGAGGGGTTACAAGAGTCCCTGACTCTGCCAGGAAGTGGGTTTAAGCTTAAATTATTGCTGACAATCTGATGAATATTTTATCTTTAGAGATCTTCGGAGAAGGGAATTCCATTGGGGAATGTACCCTTGGTTGTGAAAGATTGATTGAGTGCTTTCTATAAAAAGAAAAATAACCCCCAGGCCCCACAATATTCCACTAACTTCTGCTTAGAAACTCTGGCGGGATTTCTGGCCTATTGGTCTTGTTGATGTGAACTTGGTGGAGAGTCCCCTCGGGTTTCACCAGTTTGGGCAGCAGGCTGTTGAAAGGGGTTGTGTTTGCTTTGTGAGACAGGTCAGATTTGGCTTTTTGAAGGCTCATAGAACAGCTTTCCTGTGAAAGTGATTTGGCCTCTCAGTGAGAAACATGGCCTGTCAACACCCCTCTTATTATCCTGGCTGAGAAAATGGGCCTGGCCCCCTCAGGTCCCCTTACACCTTAATTCCTCTCTGTGGGGCCTGCCACAGAACCTGACCTTGTCTGGTTCAGGAAGCAGGAAATCAGCCTCTCTTCCTGGTGGGACCAGGGATGAAATTTTTACATGTCCTCAAGGTGTCCCATTGCTGACCAAGCTTTGCAGGGGCCAGATGACCAACAGTGCAATCTTATTTTTTCTTTTTTAATTTTTTAAAAGATGTTGATAGACCTTTATTTTATTCATTTATTTATATGTGATGCTCGGAATCGAACCCAGTACCTCACACATGCTAGGCAAGTGCTCTACCACTGAGCCACAACCCCAGTCCCCAATAGTGAAATCTTGAGATCTTCTACTATGTTTGGGGACTGTTCCACTCAACCTAGTACAGAGAGCTTATCATAGGGCCTGCCAAGGTTAAGGGCACAATCACTGTTGGCTGAACAACTCATGGTGCCCATCTGGGCCATTGCTCTCTGGAATCTGACAGTGGGGACCAAGATGTTAGGGACCCAAGATGAATTTTACTAGAGGCTACTTAACCCTAGCCTGGGAGACAGGTGTTTGGACCTAGGAAAACTTTGCCAACTGTGAACTTGCGTTGTTTAGCACCATTCATTTTTTAGTACAAATTTTGTGATTGTTATTAACAAAATAAGTATGACTCGAAGTTGCTGAGAGGTTACTCTCTGCTGGGCCTGTTGGGAACTTAGCTGCATTATTTGAATTTAATCTTCATGAGAGGTGAGTACTGATGTGATTTTCATGTTAGCCTTGAGGAAACTGAAGCTTAGCCGAGTTTGTTTGCCCTAACTTCACATTTTCGTGACCTTAAGGGGAAAGACTGTGACATTCTGGTTTCACGAATATAGAATCCATCTACAAGCACAGAGTTCCAAATACACAAAGCCATAGAGTAAGAGAAATGTCAGCCCGTTAGTCAGAACAAAGTTACAGGAAATGGTATACTGAATCACTCTCTTTAGTATTCTTCTTCTTTTAAGGTTGCAGAGTTTGGTGAGGCCAGGGCCTATGTAGAAGTACTAATTTGGGCCATAATTTAAGATATTGGTTGATTAGGATTGTGATTTTATTGAAGGAACAAAAAAGTTGTTGCCCAATGTTGGGTTGAAGTGTCTGTAGTTGAGCTGCTGCAAACACTACCCATTAGCTATGAGTGGCTATTGATATGTGTATATAAATGAATTAAACTTAGACACAATTAAAATTCTCTTCCTCAGTTTCACTAGGTCCAGAGTATCTAGTGGCCACCAAATCAAATAACAGAGACTTGGAATATTTTTTCACTACCAGAAGCTATTTCATAGTGCACCCCTATAGTAGGCATTTCGTATTGTAAATTAGTACAACCACTTTGGAAATCAGTATGGAGGTTCCACAAAAGACTAGGCATGGAACCACCATATGACCCAGCCATACCCTCCTAGGTATTTACCCTAAAGAATTGAACTCAACATACTATAGTGATACATGTATACCCATATTTATAGCAGCCCAATTCACAATAGCCCAACTATGGAACCAGCTTAGGTGTCCATCAGTGAATCAATGGATAAAGAAAATGTGGTGTATATACACAATGGAGTTTTATTCAGCCACAAAGAAAAACGAGATTATGAGATTTGCAGGAAAATAGATAGAACTTGAGACCATTCTGTTAAGTGA